AGAAGCTGTCTCTGGAGGAAGACTTGCCTTTTTTCACACTTACAAGGATGCTGTGGAAGTAAATGGCTAGTTCAGTATGCCCTTGGAGGGGAAGAAGGCTCCAGTTTTCACAGTCAGCAGACTTTTCCTCTGTTGCTTGTCCCCTCATCATTGAAAGAGATGAGGGCAGAAAGAGCCTGAAAACATCTTATCTTCCAGTGCAGGAAAAATCTTTAATTGCTGGTAAAGATCGTACATGTGGTATGATGGTAGAAGTCCCCAGTAACATTTTGATACAGTAAAACCTTAGTTTTTTGGTGCCATGGTTTGGGCAGGCCTTCAGGAACAGGAATAACTGCTTTGGTTTTGTGTGGGGTGGGGCAGGTTAGCAAGAATCTTTTTCCAATTAAGATGCTGTTAAACTTACCACTTCAAGTCACTGTTGTTGGGGAGTTAGAAATGCAGTTTTAATTCAGGGTCACTTTGCTAGGATAATCCAATGTAACTACCTTCCTCATTTAAACTTAATGTTTCTGAGGACTTTTGTTTCTTAATAAACTAAAATTGAAAGGAGCATTGGAAATCATGAAAAAAATGTAAGGAGTGGGTGAGGGAAGGTACTAGACTGACTCAGCCACTTCGGTACTTTTAAGACTCTGCTGCAGTGCTATTGTATTGTCCACTGCAGTGTTTCCTTCCTGAAGAGAGGGAGAATTAATGACCTATGTGTGTACCTAGAGCAAGAACTGGAAGAGTAATGGTGAATAGTGTATAGATTTGGCAGAATAAATATATAGATATGTGCCATAATATGCTCGTGTTTTGGCAGCTTGAGGCAAATGACAATGTGAGAAAACTCCCTGCTTGGTTTTTCTTTTGCTGCGTAGTTGTTCCACCGGGCATGCACTACATCCTGACCAAAAATACTGGTGATCGCAAGCAAGCCCACAAAATACTGACTACATCTTAAAAATCCTGATGTTTCTTTTTAAACTTTTTAGCAGGTTTTTATGTGCTTTTTGTTCTGTCCCTTTAAATTTCAAGGTCCTCTCAAAGCACGTTTTCAAGCACATTTCCCTTCCTCCCCCACAACTACAAGGGCTAGGAATTTGAGGTCTGACTGAGCTGAAATTTTCATGCTGTCAGTTAATTGCAGCAGCAAGAAGTTAAACTGTTACAAGACTAGGTATGGAGCTAAGATTGTTTTAAGATGAGTAGTATTTAATTTAGTAGTAACCACTTAGTTAAAATATTTATTAACCATTTAGTAATAGTCAAAGATGCTTTACCAAGTAAGCGGGACAGATGGAAAAGCCTCCCACATTGTATTATAACAACCTAATTTTAATCAAGAAAGCAAAAGGAAGGCTCACAAGCTTTATGAAAAAAGGTGATTGTAGTGTGGTCATGTGATTGCCCAGTCCAACAGCTATAGTTTCCTGCTTGATGTTTTATTCTGTGGCATGGCTGCATCAACTGCATGTGCAAGTTGAAAGATAAACAGAGGCTATGAGATAGTGGCTCATATCAGATACCACACTTAGTGAAGTAAAGACTTAATTGTAGGTAAAGATGCAGCTCTGACAAGGATGTGGGTTCCCCACTTCCACCAAGGGAAGAAAAAAATAGCCTCTGGCCTTATATAGCTAATTTTTCATATACCCAAATGTGTCTCTGGTGGGTTGGTGGGGGCTGGGGTGGATCCATCTGTCTACAGGAGATGCAGGCTGATCTCTGAGATCTCTTAATACTGTAACAGAGTCTGTCTTGTCTAATTCTGTAATTGTAGCTCTGCCTTGGCAGGGGTGGGAAGTTGAACAGCAGAAGTTAGCTTAGATTCCTATTAAAAAATGCCCATCAATCTTTTTACAACCCTTATGCATCCCGTTGCTTGCTTACTTTCAGAAAATTGACCAGCTAACACTGTGAATGTCAGGTGTTGGCATGCCAGGTTCCTTGCCCCGTTCCTTGTGTGGATCACTGCAGGCTTTTTGGAAAGAGGAGGGAATTGAATAATGGAGCTCCAGCTTTGTCCTCCTTGTTTTGCTTAGCGCTGACTGACCTTGACCTAAGGGCACCATGACCTCAGCCAGTCAGGTTGATGGGCTTAAATCAAGATGCAGGTCTTGTGATAAATAAGCTGGAATGTGTCATTTTACATCTGAACTGCATCTTCTCAATTGCATATTTACTTGCATCTCTGACTATGGGAATTTTCTGGTGCAATATTTGCATTGTAGGAGTTTGTTTTCCTTTGATTAACTTTCTGTAACACTCAGCTATTTTAAAATAGGAAGGGAGAGCTGGAAAATGCTGTCACCATTAAAAGTACACCCAGAATAATTTCTTCTGTAAACAAGGCAATGGTTCTGTTTACTAAACCAGGTTAAGAAAGTCTTCACTAAAAAGACTGTCTTTCTTGACTACAGAACTTTATCTTCAAAGCATTGAATGAAGCCAGGCACTGGGGGGTGGGATTGTGAGAAGACACTTGTATAATTAAAGACCATTTTATGTTCCCAAGAGCTGAGTTAGGTACACCCTTGATGATGCTACATTCTCATGTGTGTGCCAGGCTGAATGTGCTACACAAGATACTGAAAGTTGTTACAGATTCCTTATAATCCTCTTTGAAGAACGAAGTTGACTTATATTCTCTTGTACAAATATCTTTGTAAATACAAACAACATTTTTTTTTCTCTGAATAATACTGTTATGAATAATACTTTTGTTTTTAAAAAACCCCTTATGGGCAGCTTTGCCTTGTCTTTTCTCTGTTTTGTAGCTTGGTCTGACTGTTCAGCAAGGTTCTCTTTTACACTGAAGTCAGCAAAATCAGCAATTTAATCAGTTGTTAATTTAGTAACTGTATCTGAAGAGCTGGTTTGTTACATTCTGTTTAACTGAAGTTGGCATTTGTTGAATTAGTAAAAAAGTAAACAGTTGATTTCCACTGTAGTGGGATATTTTAGCAAACTTTTGCAAAGCAGGAGGGGGTAAAAATACTGACAGTGAAAGGAAAAATAAAACACCCGGAGTGCAGTATCTTTTTCAAGTAAATGAGCCAATTGCTGTTAATGACACTTGACTAAACCCAATAGGTGAGTTTTCTTGTAATGTTCTTGCAGTTTTAGGGAATGACTCTTACAAAATTATTGCAAAAACTCAGGGTTTGCTCTAGAAGTTGAGAGTGACTGTCAAAAAAAATTACAGTAACTCTTGAGGAGAGTCAAGGGAGTTGGAGTTGTAAGGGCGGCAGTGTTGCTTCCCAAGGAGGGATGAAAGGTTGAAATTGCAATAGCTGCAGTCTGAGTATTTCATCCAGAACAGAGCAGAACAGCCTGGAGGATATACTTAAGGTTGATAGATTATAGCTTGTTCATTGCATGGCTATGTTACTGGTAGATGCTGTTATAAAACCCCATCTCTGACCCTACAGTTAAACTCCTGTGAAGGATAAGGGGGGGGCGTGGAAATATATATAGGGAAGTGGTGGCTTGTTGCAGTCAAGTCACTGTAACAAATAGTTCACTGTTAGGTATTTCTTCAGGGATGAAGCTAGGCGAGTGGCAGTAGTCTGCTTCTCAATTTCTAATAACAAAATGCAGCTCTATTTAGTAGTTTCTTGGCCTTTAATACAAGGTATGATGTTAAGATGTTACTAGCACAAAGCCTATTGCTGTAAATCACTCGGACTATATCTACCTTGATTTTTATTGCCTTAGGGCTGTTTAACACAGGTTTAAAATAACAGCAACTCTAAATATTCTAAAAAACAACATGGGATTTAAAAAAAAAAACAAACAAAACTCTATAAAGCCAAAGGCTCTGCTCATGGAAAATGCAGCAGTATGTGTGGATATGGCTTGTTTTTGCTGGGCAGCTGTTTGTTACCTTCACTTTCAAATATAGATAGGCAAGTAGGTGTTTATGTGTTGTGTGCATTGAACCTGCTTACCATGATAGGGGGAGAAGTGCAAATAAGAAGGATATAGCTCTCGAGTAAATTTCCACAGTAATTTGTGGCCAGAATGGCTATTTTGGACTTTCAGAAGATTAAGCAACAACAGTTCATTCATAGCTACTGAAAGGGCAGCTCAGTGTGTTAGATGTGAGCAATGCAGAACTTGCTTTTCCCCCAGTGTGTCTTGCCAGATACGTGAGCTTCTGATATTTCTCTGGGTTTTTTTACTAAACCGTTCAATGAGGTGAAAACTCTATTTGAATAATGAACACTTTCTCTGCTATTTCGCCATAATTTAGTAAGTTTCACAGATTGGGTCCTAACTTGTCTTCCTCCCTTTGTGATGTGTGAAAATGGCATTCTTCTGTCACTTGAGCAATGAAGTCTGGCCTGTGTCAGGAGCTGGAGACTGCAGGACACGAGGGCATAAGCAGACAGCTTCAGTGCAGCTTTAAATGTCCAAACCCAAACTTCAGGAATATTCAGTGATCGTAAAAAAAAAAAAAAAAAAAAAAAAACAAAAAAAAAAAAAAAAAAAAACCAGTAGCAATTTGTGGCAACTTACACCCTGTTCTGCTTCATTGGCATCAGCCTGTCTGCCTCCTGCAAAGTGCTAATGCTTGTTTAACTGTGTAATTATGGAAACTGATAGTGGGTGGTGCAAGAAAGAGAAGTGGAGGTATCTGTAAAGGCCAACTTCTGACCCAAGAGGCTGATTTCTTTGGGCTGCCAGTAGACAGAAAGGAGCTCCTACTCTGACATGCTTCTGGAATAGCCCTTCTTCCTTCTGCGTCTTCAGAGAGAACCTAGAGTGAGCCTCTCTCAATGCTTCTGTGCTGACTATGCATGTATGGTAGGTGCAAAGCAGCATTTAGCTCCTGTCACTGGGACTTTGTGTGAGAAATCAAACCAGAGTGATCCCCCGTCAGATCTGTGGTGGTGAATGGCTGTAATAATGATGATTTCCTTTCATAGGTTTCAAGATGCTTTATAAAAGTTCATGTTAATAGCATAACTTGGATTTAAATTTCTTGTTTTGTTTTTCTTACATTTCAGATCTACCAGTCATGAAACGAATTCTTCTGTTTTTTATCCTGGCTGCTGCTGTTATGTATGGTATACTGCATGGAAATCTGTGGAGAAATAACCTCTACTGGTATGGTGATGCTTTGTTCACTTTTAGTGCAAACACCTTCATGGCTGTATGAGAGATGTGGCTGTGAGTTGCTGTGTTGCTGAACAGCTGTTTACTAGTAATCAACAGAAGTGATTACTACTCTGTGTGTTTGTTTTGTGGTTGGTTTTTTTTTTGTACTGTGAGGGAATGAATGTGATTGTTGTGTCCTGTCGCCCTTTCTCTCTTGTCACTTTTAAACCTAGTAGTCAATTTGAGCCTGGTTGTATGGAGAGGTCAGGACCTCAGAGACAGGGAGCCCCTCTGAGTTTCATGAAAATAGGTGTTCAGGTGAGGAGAGATATCTTATTTATGTGTCTCGTGTCCATATCTTCTCCCACTCCATGTGTGTTTAGTGTTAGCTTGTTGCTTTAGTTGTCTGATAAATGATGTGGGAGAGACCTGCTCCACACATGGGAATAACTGCAGGTGTAGCGGGTGCCTTTTGAAAAGCTGAAATTTGTTGAGTCCCAGTGGTAACCTTGGGGGAAGCAAGCCTTCACTGTCTCCAGGCTGCATGGGACAGGTGGCTTGGGACCTAAAATTCAGGGTGTTTATTGAAGAAGTTGAGTTTCCATTGGCCTTTGCACAGTTGTGACCAGGACTGACCAGTGTGTTTGTGTTATGAAGATAATAGTGATGGCTTTTAAAAGTAGTGATTGATGTACCTCTTTTTGTCTTGTTTATAGCATACGATTGATATGAATGGCTTTCTGTTGTGGTTTCAGTTTATAGCAAACCAGAGTTGTGACATTTCGCTTTTTGCAGGATTAGCTTTTATGGACAGACTTCCTCTGTGAGGGCTCCTCCTTCCTATGAGACTAGTGGAGTTACCCAGTAAGTTCAGCACTTGAGTATTTTTGTGGTGGGTTTTTTTGTTTGTTTGTTTGGGTTTTGGGCAGGTGGGAGGGATTGAGATTAAAATCTGTAGCCTTTGTCCATAGGCTCCCTGTTCAATTGGTTATTGTACAGCTGTGTCCATTGGCTATTTCTGTTATGAACACAATTGTAACATGTCTGGCAGAAAGGAATTTGTCCATGTCATGTTTCCAGTGTTTGGTTAATATTTATGGCCACTTTCAGTGACTGACTATAACAAGCAATGAATTGTTGGAAGGACATTTGTTTACAACTTCCAAATTTCTGCAATTCTGAGTTACACCTGAATAAAATTAGCAGAGCCATGAGGGTAACTTTTGTGCTTAAAATTTAATAGATCAGAGGTGTGGTTCACTTGTGATGTGCGAGCACAGGTATAAGCAGATCTTGTGCTAGTAAATTCCTGCAATTAGGTTTGTGGGACCGATAAGCAGCTATGCTAAAACTTAAAAGCAAGCCTCTGTTTTGTCTGAAGCCGTCCTGCAAAATGCCATCTGTGAGGCTGATGCTGGAAAGCAATGAGCTGGCCAGCTGATATATTTCACAGGGTGCTTTGTCAGTGTCAGTATTCACATGACAACTTGAGGTTACCAAGAGCAATTAACCTTAATGGTCTGTTTGGCTTGTGGTTCTCATATGGTGGTTTCATCCTTCTGTTCTTAATGCAGCCCAGATGCATGCATTGCTTACACTGAACTTTACCCTCCCTTCATATTTGTTATTAATTGGGCTAAATTGCCAAGGTGGGAATGTGCTTAGAAGTGTCATAGCCTTATGAGAGGAATGACTTATCCCCAAAGAATCTCATTTTCCTTGAAGTACCCTATGTGTTGCTGTCTATTCCCCTCTCCTCTCTGAGGAGCACTGGTAATGCCAGCATGATTCAGCCCAGATGTCCTGCTTCTCTGCAGGTGAGCCTGAGATCTCACCTCTGGTTATGGCTGCTTTGATAGTTGCTGAGCAAGGGAGGTTGCAGAGCCCTTAGAGCAGCACTGTGAGATAAAAGCCTTTGCTAGTAAAAGTAATCATACCGCAATGAGAAAGATCCATCTTTATAGTACAGACAGAGGCAATCATGAAAATTTGGTGTGGTGTTAATTCAGTAATCAGCTTTTATTAATTTGGCTTGTCTAAGTTTCCCTCCCTTGTTGCTGCTGCCTGTTCTTGCTGTTTCTTTGAAATTCTTCTTTTGCAGGCTGCCACCTACGGCTGTGGAGAGAAGGAATGCACTGGACAGTTGTGTACTGAAACCAGCATTTGAATCTTTATTGGGGTGAGTCTTCTGTGGGAAGTGGAGGTGGAAGGAAAGGCTGTGCTGACTGAGGTAGAAATGGACTACTTGCATATCCTGGACTATTTCACATTTTGATTCACCTCTGGAAGTACAGCTTTTGGGCTTGGGTTTATTGCTGCTTTTTTTGGTTGTGGCAACACAAATTGTTTAGCTTGCCACTGATCAGCATCTGAGCAATACCACATGAGTAGCTCAATATGCTGGTGTATGTACTAAATAAATAAATACTTCCTGTTCAGGTATTGTAGCGAGTAACAGTGAAACCATTTGAATGATTGAAATACAAGCCTTAAATTTTTTTTTTTCCCCATGCTTTTCCTGTAAAAGAAGCCTTCATGTCCAAGACTGAAACTCAGTCATCCTGCTATTAAGAACCTAGACTTTAAGATTTTTTTGCTAGCTAAGTATTTCTGTAGCAGCCAGGGACCACAGAAGTTTTGAAAATCTTTTCATTTTTTTTGGAAAGAGGAGTATGAAATGTGCAAAAGTTCATCCAATCTTTAATGATATAAGATTCTTCCCCTTCAATGGAATTCTAATGGAATTTAATGAAATTTGGGATTATTTGTGGCTTTGTTCCTCTGATAGTATTGTTGAATTGTGTGTAGGTGTCCTCCATTTTAAGGTACTCATAGGAAGCTTCCTTTGTGAAGAAGCAGTCAGGTGAAAAAAGGACTTCAACCCAAAACAAAGGAGGTGTCTGGTCACAAAAGTGCATTCAAGAGGTTTGTGAGGAAATATTGGGAGGTTTTGTTATTAGAAGCACAAGTCTTAAATGAGAGATCAAGGGAGCGCTGCAGGACCAGAAGCAGATAGGCTGTATTGTTAGCTTTGTGTTTTACCTGAGCAAATGTTGAGTATGGCCCTGTGAAAGTTTGGGAAGATGTTTAGGCCAAGTCCTGGCTGAAGGAGTCTTAAAGCTCTGAGCAAAGACACCATTGATTCTTTTTTTTGGTCCTTTTTGTGTACAAGAAAATGTGGCTTTAATTCAGTGCTATTATTATTTTAAAAACATGGAAGGATCTCAAGTTTGTCCTCCCCAAAGCAGTCTTGCAGTCTTTGAGTTTTGGTTAGCTGCCTGGCCCAGCAAGGTGGTCCTAGGTCCCTCGCCTACAGAGTGTACCCAGGCTGTCTCTGTGTAAAGCACAGCAGGATAGCTTTGGTGCTGAGCAAGGGGACAGGAGTGGACTCGGAGATGTGCAGCGAGAAGAATGTAGGTGCAGAGCTAGAACAGATTCTCTTGCGTATTTCCATAGCTCCTTTACAGAGATAGTTTGCACAAGCTGAAGATCTGGTCTGTGCACTTTGGTAGTAGCCTGGGGAGGTTGCAAGGATTTCTAACCTGTCAGAATTATTTACTGGAAAGGAACCAGAGCTAGAATTAAGAATCTCTTTGGAGTAGGTAAATTATTTATTATGTCTAAGCTTACCAGCTGCTTCTGAACAGTAAGGCAAGTTATTAAATTTAATATGGGTGTTTAGTGCATGATGTCTCAAAGATAGCTGGTCTTGCTTAGCTAACCTATGGCCTAGTTCTTGGTGTGTGAGCTGTGGTGTTTTGTTGGTTTTTTTGGTTTTTTGTTTTTGGTTGGGTTTTTTTCCCTTTTTACTGTTAGTATCTTCTGAATATGTAGAGCTTAAAGAGTGAGATACTTGATTTGTGAAACTGAGAGGGAGGGGGTTTTTAACAGCTATTAATATTGTTAACGGACAAACAAGTCATGCTGGCTGTGGGTATTTAAGATCAACTCTAGGTTTTCTCACTGTGGCTGTATACTTCTGTGTTAACATTTTAAGACCTAGTATGCAGGATCACTACAAAGTCAACCAGTACAGTGAGTATGTGCCCACTTCAAGGTGAAGCCAAAGTCATTGTAGCATGTGACAGGATTGAATCTACTGTTCATTCATTTGGCTTGACTTGGCAGATATGGTAATAAGAGTCCCTTCCCTGAGATATGAGATAACCCTTGTCTGTGGTTACTGTCTTTTGAAGAAAGTAGTGACCCATTCTTTCTATCTTGATGCTTATAAGGTATGATGCCATCATTTTCTAGTTTGCCTTTTGTGGCAAGCCTCCTTGTGATCCCCACGTGCCATGCTTCTTATTGCAGGTTGGCCCTGGCACTTGTGCACTGGGCTCCTTTCAGACATCTGACTTGCTGAGCCAGAAGATGCACTGCAGGAGCACACCTGACGTGCTGCAGCTGCTAAGGGGTGTTTAGTCTGTGGGACCCTACTAGAGTTAGTCCAGAGTAAAAAAAAATAAAAAATCCGATATGTGTGTAACATGGACATGAGAACTCCATACTTTTTTGCTGTATGGATATACCCCTGTTGCCCCAGACTACTTATTAATGTCAACACAGCCGTGAAGTGCCATTTCTTTGAAATGGGATAGCATCTCAAACAAGCTGATGCCTTCGGGAGATGGTATTTTCAAGTTAAAACACCTTGTTTCAAATCCCATTCTTACTTATTAAATTGCCGTATATAATAACTCTTAATTTTCCTTGCTGCCTCTGTTGTGTACTTTTCAAACCTGAAGTTATTAATTGTCTTTCTGCATTACATATTCTCTTAAAAATGCTGTCTCATGGTATAAGCTTTCAGTCATGTTGTTTTAATGACTCCATATAACTTACAGTAGCAGAGAAATCATTTTATCTCACTCTCTAGCTATATTTTCCATTATAAACTCTTCCCCTTTTCTATCACCTGCTTGCTTTCCCTGTGTTCATGAATTTTCTTCTTTTAAAAATTGATAATACTTGAAGTAGGATAAAGTTTGGGTGGGTTTTTTTTTTCAAAAGCAATTACATGAATTATTGGCTTATTCAAATACATCATGTGGATTTTTTGAAACTTCTTTCTTTTTCTCTTCATTAGCGTTGATAAAATATACCCGTTCCTGTGCACTAACGATTTTATCAGAGTGGCGGAGTTCCACGGGAGCGATAAGTTTGAACTACCTTATGGAATAAAGAGAGCAGGTTTGTGTTCCCTATGTAACTTGTTTTTAAATGGAAATACCGAAATGGCATGTAAAGCCACCTGTATCTCTGTCCCTGGTCTTTCCTATTCACTATTCCTATTTTGAGGGTGTCTAGCAGTGACTTAATGGTTTCATTTAGTCCCTCTGACCTGCCACCTTCCTGTTTTTAACAAATAAAACACCATGTTGAGGTTTCCCCTCTTAGCAGAGAAGCTCCAAAAAAGTGGGAGTGAGGAAGAGTGGAGCTTATTCAGCTTCCTCTCGTTTGTATGTGGGCTGAGGTGCTAAAGATATTTAGCTAGTGCTTTGCTAGGTGAAATATTAGCTGGGTCAGTGTGATGGGGTTTGATCAACACACCTAAGCCGATCAGGATCCAGACTCCTACTGAGGCAGAAGTCCCCAGGTTGGGGCAGTTACATCAGCAAAGTTTTCCTTTTACTGAGCTAGCTTCTCTGACCATGGAAGGCATCACTGGGGCTGCAGGGGGTATTCCTGCTGTTATGTGGCTGCTGTACCTCTGCAAAGTGTTTGCTTGCTCATGCCTGCTGCCCGTATTGGTCAGGGCAGAGTAAACAGGGCCAGAGACCCTAAGGGTCTTAGTCACCCTTCTGGAAACCACTGTAAAGTCTCAAGTCTCAGAGTTTTTAACCCTGAACAGTGCACTTTCCTAGTACCCTGTGGACCTGGGCTTTAGACTCTTGATTTGCCTTTTGTCAGTGTAACAAGGATGTTACGTTTTCCCTCACCTCTGGGGTTGTGGTGGGGAAAAGTTTGTTTGGGAATGAGTTGAGGCCCCCTCTCGGTTAGAGGCACGTTGAGTGTCCAGCAGGTGCCTGCCCACTGAGGGGGGCCTGGGAAGGTGCCTCTGCCCAGCTTTGCCAGTGAGCACAGGCTGGTTTGATGTCTTCTCCCAAGATACATAATGCTGTTACTGTTCATGGCTGTGTGGCCCCTCTTCTTGAGTCAAGGCTGCTTTTATTTCATCTGAAGGTGGGTGGAAGAAAAAAACAAAGTCAGTTAGGATGTATGTCTTGGAAACTCTTCCAATGCTTATTTATTGTAACTAAGATTTTTTTAGATACAAATCCCATGCTGTTTTCCAACAGCAGTGTTGGGGCGGGAAAAGAGGAGCTCTGATAAACCTGAATTTCTTTGGCATCATTGATTGACCTGTGGCCCTAAATTAAAAGTGTTCCTATTTTGAGGTTTTTATGCACAGTGCATAAAAACTACTGTCTGAAAATGCTGTAGTCAAGGTGGCATGCTTATTTTTATATTGGAGAGCATTGACACTGAACATTTTCATTAATCTTCTTTGTTCGCTTTCTAGAGCAATTTTTTCGTTTAGCCCTTTCAAGACTGCAGAACTGTGGACTTTCCAATGAAAATGACAGGTGAGATGGTTTATTTGCTACTGTTTCTGTTCATTGCATTTTTAATACTCAATATTTATCTGAAAAGGAATGTCAGTGGCGTTATCCTGAAATTGCTCAAGTTAGCCAAGATGCAGATCTGACTGACAGCATCCAAGCAATATGTAATTGATTCCAAGATTTAAATAAGTTTGTTTTTAAACATATGTAGCACCAGCATTCAAGAATAATTCTTCTGTGAGGGAGCTTAAACTGATAGATTTCTTTTTTTATAAGTGCATTAGGAATTTGCTAGCTGAATACACTCACATCTTCCTGTAGTATCTTTTTATACCTGAGGAAAGTGAAACGACCCCTTAAAAATGGAATGGGATCTCCTCTGTTGATGTCATTATTAGTGTAAGCTAGAGAATGTTTGAGATAAGCAGGTGCAAACCAACGACTGTTTCTACACGAAAGAAATATTATGCATATCCCCAAGAAATCTTACGCATATCCCTGTCTCACTGCATCCGCTGGCCTGCTGCACACCCTTGTTCATATGTATGCTCAGCTTCCTTTTTCTGTAAATGAGGGAGATCTAGGCAGCCAGGAAAGGCTGTTCCTGGCGTTTCTGGAGTAACCAGGGTGTGGCATGCCTTAGATAACTCACTTCCCAGGCATTGGATTGCCCTTTTAAAATATCTTTTGGTTAGAAGCCACTTCTGCTGGGACTTTTTGTTTGGTTTTGGAGGGTCTTTCTGTGTGTGTCTTGCGTGGTTTGTTTTGGTTTGGGGTTTTTTTGTTTGTTTTGGCAGGTTTTTTTTAGAGTTAGTGTAGCAGGGTTGGCAAGTGTTTACCAAGTGATGCAAATGAATTCTTAGATTTGCAGTCTAGCAAATGGGCTGACAACCTGTCATATATCATGTTAATATGCAGACTTCTTAGTAGAGCTGAATGCAAATAATGCTGAGGTTGGCTGTACTTGGTTTTGTTTTGTAATCAAGGAGATCAAACGGAAGAGTGTTGCTTCAAGCCAATGCCAGGATCACATTTTAATTAAAGTTGGGTGGAATATGAACAAAATAATTGATGTTCAAGCCTAAGAATTATCTCGGTTTTAATACCCAGTTTTCCTTTCTTTCACCTGCTGTACTCCTTCCTTTCCCTGTGTTTAATATCCATTTCTAGGATGTTCAGGTTTACTCTTACGTTGGAAAAAAAAAAAAGGGAAAAAACCCTGTTTTATATCAGGAGTGTGATAATTGGGGAAATTTATGCAGAATTGGCTGAGAAAAGCTAGTCTTTTTTCTGGAGTTTGAAGGAGAATGCCAAATGTTGTATTAGAAAATTCCTGAAATCACAAGTTCAGCACTATAATCGTTTTGGCTGTAGAGACAAGACGCTTGCAGTACAGCATAGTACCTTTTAAATGGAGGTGTCTGTCCTATAGATCAAAAGTAAGGTAATTAGTATTTATCCTTTGCATGTAGGTTCTCTGAGATATAGATACATTTAGTGGTTCTGGGAAGTATGCTTCGTTTTAATAAAAGTAGTATACTTCAGTAGTACTGAAGCAAAATGAGAACTGTTACTCTTTAATAGGCAGTAGTATAAGCAAATCAAATGTACAATGACTTCACACAAGATATTCTTTCTAGATCCATCAGCTTTTGTGTATAGCACTGTTAGGGCATGAATCACTGTAGTAAGGAAGAACTTTTATATATACATTTAACTGAGATACAGTGGCTTTTAAATGTGAAACACTTTAGGAATTAATCCTGAAAACATTCTCTGGTAATACGGAATTATTAGGCAGCTCTGTAATGCTGCTGCCTAATTCAGCCTTCTTGGCAGAATGTAAACCAAATTTCCCTATAAACTTTTTCTTGGGGCAGAGTGGGGGAACCTGCTATAAAGTATTTTAAGAAATATGTATTTTTGTGCAACTTAGGTAAAACTGTACCTAATGAGCTACAAAGGATTTTTCCCGAACAATGCCATTTTCCGAATTTAGGTGGAATTCTCACTGTGTAAAGGTCTAGTTCTTCAAAACTGTTTGGAAGTGAACAGTGTCACTGACTTCAGTGGAATAGCCTTTAGGAGAAGGGTTTTCCAGGCCAGGGGTACATTGACAGAGTAACCTCTGAACACCTGCTCTACTCATTTCCTCATAATTACTCGCTGGGCACTCTCAGGACTCTAAGCTTAACAACAGTAAATTCTTACAAATGCATTTACACAATCCTGAGCCAACAAAATGTGACCTCTGCATCCTCCTTTTACCAAATAACCTCAAAGGAAATAATTTGCATTCCTCAACTGACTATGGGGGGGTGTGTTAAAGGAGTTGAGGTTGAGATCTTCTTCCTTTTCCAACAGTATTTCAGTGGAATGTGGAGGATGCAAGCCTTTTGACCTTTAAAGGCTACATTTCCATTTAACAATATTTTTCTTTTCTAGACTAGGAAAATATTTCTTTTAGAATTTCATCATATAAACAAAATATGTAAACTAATGCCTGGCCTTGAGATTGAGGCTCTTGTACACCACATGAATAGGGCAATGGTTTGAGTGACTAAAGGGATTGTGTTTAGATGTTGGAGATCAGTTACCATGCTATTTGCATAGGATCCATTTTTACTCTAAGTAGATCTCGAACACCTAAATGCAATCCCTTAGTCACTCAAACCATTGCTATAGCAACTGTTATAGCTGAGGTCTTAATATTTTTCACTTTCATTAATATTGTGCTGGTGGTTGTAAGCTGGACCTCCAGACATTTCAGTCTGTTACACTTCACTTGTAGCACACCTGATGTTTAAGTACATCTGAATTTATTTCTCTTCTTGCCAATTATTTACTGACTTGGAAAAAGGGTGAGTAATGCTCAGCTTTGGGGTGTTTGGGGTTTTCTAATATGAAAACATTACGAAAAAGGGAACTTTAAGAAGTGGGGTTGGTAAAATACCTGGGAGTAACAGTCTGCTGAAAATCAGTGTGTTGATTTCTGTGATCTACAGTAAGTACAGGCCAGTTTATTTAACTTTAAATATCTTTGAATACAGTCCAGCCTTGCATACTCTTTATCTCCATTTCATATGTCATTTTCCTATGATACTATGTTTTGGGTTTTTTACTTTAGCATAAACCATTTCCTTCCCTGCTTATGGCTGTCAGTGGAATCTGTGCTACTGTGGATGTAGCCTTATGATCATAACTGGAGACACTTGAATACTGGTGGGGGGCTAAGCGGAGGAGACGATTCAGAAATAGCACATTCGTGCCAGACTTCCTGTTTGAGCTGGCCCACTTCAAGTTCCTGAGCTTGACAGAGATTAAAAGCTGGTCTTTCTAATTTGTTTGGCTGTAGTTATGACTGTATTAATGTATAATTAATCAGGAGTATTTGATCTGCTTGTTGATATTATCCACTCTAAAAGTTCATGTACAAATATTAGATGCTTTATTGGTTATTTGAAGGCAGCTGATAACTTTATTTTTGAGTATGCCTGTTAAGGGCACTGGAGTTTGAAAGCTTAATCAAACTTCAAATTTCACTCCATTTTCCATCCAAGTAGTATTAGTCAGCTCTTAGCCATGAACAAGATCTCGTCTGCATCCCTCAGGAAGAGCGAAGAGAGTTTGGATTTGACTTGAGAGCAGCTACCTAGCTTCTGTAGCTGTGCAAACCTCAGTTGCCCAGCTCTAAAGTCATGTTTTACTATACCCTCCCTGCCTTGAGTGTGTCCTGCTACATCACAACTGCACAGTGCAGAGAGGAGAAACCAAAGAGTTCTTCATTTTTATACGGGAGTGGAAGGCATTATTTCAATAGCTAGGGATTGACATAGCAAAGAAGCTTCTTAAAATCATAGCCTCTGCCAAAAATTGGAAGGTATGGAATAAGGAATCACTTAAAGTTCATCTACAAGGGACAGAACAAGCAGTGCCTCCTCAAGGTAACTGTTTGGCTGCTTATCATGGTCAGAATAATACAAACCACTTGTAAGGAAGTTGACATTGTTTTTGTGAATTCACACCAAGTAGTCAGAGAGTATTAAAAAAAAAAGTATTCACCAAGATTAGGAACAATTTTTCTGGCTTTTTATTGAGGCACAAAGATGAGTTCATGCATGTGTGTCAGTCACTGCCAAACCAGGGTGTCCAGCAAGCATTCGGGATGGATGCTCTAGCCAGGAGGTACCACCATGAGTTGGAGCATGAGTGTCAGTTTAGGATTTGCATTGTGGTGATGAGGTTTGTACCTCAGTAACCCAGCTGCGGCCACATAACTTTTGGTGACACTGAATTCAGAAGTTTGAGATGATTGAAACTTTCACTGATTTACAGAAGCATGCTGTAAATGACAGGAAAACGTGATACAACCACATGCTAATTTTGCCCCCCCCCCCTTTCCATTTTCATCACTTATTGAGGGAATGGGCATACTGAGGACAGGATGGTATAACAGGTTTTCACCCCTCTGATTTCCAAGGTACTGAGTCACCTGGACTTGTGGCACTTGCTGGAAATCTTTTTATGAATGCTTGGCTTCTACTAAGCTGCTCAGGAAACAGGAGAGAAAGGTGTGCTAGCTTTTTCCATGTTACCTCACCCTGACAGCTGCATTTAGCAACTTTCTATTTTTTTTTAATATATATATATTTATATATAAATATAAAAAAAGGAAACTCCCTCTGGCCCTAGAGCAGCAGGTGAGAAGGTGCCATCCCAGCATTTCTTTTGAAATACAGTACTTTGTACAGTTGGCATTTATTCTCATTTCACCTTTTCTGGAAGCTTCAGGTTTTCGGCGTTGCTTTGTGGCCCAGTTTTTTTTTCTAGCCCGCATGTGGTCCAGCATGACTGCATTAACAATTCTGTAGGAAATACAGGGAACTGCTTTGTACATTGAGATGTTGGTCAGTCTCAGCTGGAACAGGCTGTTCTCATTGATGTTGAATAATACTCTTCTCAGCTGAAAAAACAGGTTGGACTATCTGAGGAGAAGGATGTTAATTTTAATTAGTCTGCATAAAGTGCAACACTGGGCATTTAGTGCAGATTATAGTGTACTTTGGGACACAGTCCTGGGGTCCCCTACAGTAAGAAATGGCACAGAGCCTTTTTCTTATTTGAAGAACCATGGGAGTGGGGCATTGGGAAGTGACTCATCCTCAGTAAGCTGTGAGCCTGTTCGTGTCTGAAGAAAATACCAACATTTTTATTTTGCCCTTGTTCCTGCTGCAAAAAAGTTGAACAGCTTTTGCTCTAAATAAAGAAGCATTTTTTACAACAAAAAATTGTGCCTGTTCTGTAAGGAGGAGTTTTCAGTCTTACACGTTGGATGTAAACCTTCCCTAAAGAGGCAGAATTTCTTGAGTAAAAAACCAGCAAGCCTCTCTGTGTGCTTTTTTGGCTGTGTTTCGTTTTGTGTGGGGTTTTTTGGTTTTGTTTTTTTAAATTGTTGTTGGTTTTGTCTGGGGTTTTAGCAAAGCACACATTTTACTAGTATTGAAGTAAGACAGTAGAGAGCAAAAGGTATACTTAGAAAACCTGGGATAACTTGGAAAATCTTACCATTAGAATTTACTTTCATAAGTTTAGCATTTGCGTAATACCTTTTTTGGGTGCTTTTTAACTCTGAATGTATTCTAAATTCAAAAGGAATTACTATTTTGATTGGATGTACTATAAGATCTAATTTGTAGCTCACAGTGTTTTATATACTTAGTAATGCTGTCTAATTTGATCTAGTCATATGATAATGCAACTTTTAATCAAGTGTATCCATCTCGTGTCATGACAGCGTGCACTTCAGCACATGTTTAAACAGCACTTTCTAAGTAGAGGGAGAAAAATTAACATGATTGTATTCATTTGAAGAGCCATCACATGTGTCGTTGGGCTAAGGTTTTTCACATGTACAATTCAGAGGCCTGTAAGGTAAATTGTGAAGCTAAATCTTGCTGCCTTAGCTTATATTGGAGATCTCCAGAGTTGTGGAGTTGTACAATATTGCAGAAGCACCTTAATTTGAGTAGTTTTTCCAGACATGCTCTGTCCTGGTTGGTATACCGCCACACTGGGACAAGTTTGAAGCATCGTGGAAGATAATTTATCTAATGGCACCCCTATCATCAACTGGTTAGACGATCTTAAACAGCAAACCACTAGAAAAAGGACATGTATAAAAACAGTTTTACATGAGAGAAGCCATTTCCTGACTTTGGCAGTCCCTGAAATAATGCAGCTGCTTTTTTTTGAAAGCAGGCTTAGTGTGTGATACAGGATTGAGACTGCTCTGTAGGGGCCAAGGAGTGTAAAAGATAGAGGACCTCAGTTAGTAAATAAGCCAGCTAAATGCAAGTATATCATTAACAACAATATGAAGCAAGGGAAGTAGTGCATATTAAAGGTTCTGTTTGTTCCACAGCATTGCCTGTCGACGGTGTGTTGTGGTTGGTAATGGAGGAGTACTTCGAAATAAGACATTAGGGGAGAAAATCGACTCCTATGATGTGATAATAAGGTAAATGGTATATCCTTTCCATTTTGTGTGCATGCAAATAATTAACAGACTTTTGCTATCAGCTAGTGGCTTTGGAGTTCAGTTATTACACAAATGCAAATGTATGAAACTTCCTGTTTTACTTATCCTGTCACGGCCTTAATTTAAAAAATTTTAGGAAAAAATGGGTCAGTGTTTTATTACACAGACTGATTGATACAGGGGAGGGAGAATCACTGGGTGGTCAGTCTGCCTTGTGTACAGATACACACGTGCAAGATGCTGCCATCAGGGATGGGTCCAAGCATGTGATAGTCCAGAGCCTTGCATGTGAACCAGCATCCCGGGCAGCCCTGCCTCTTGCCTTCCACGCCATGCCTGTCTTACCCCTGTGCTGGCACGTGCATTGCTTGGAGTGGATTAAACGTAATGTTTATGCTGGGAAGTCCATCTCAAGGCATGTGTCAACTGGAGGATGATGTTGATGTCTGCCCCTTTTTCTCAAGCATGTTAGTTCATATTGGAAGTTTTATGAGATGCCTTAACCTACCAGAGGATGCTGGGGTCTGAAGAAGAGGCATCTGGACTAGGGGAACTGGGGAAGTGCTCAGAGAGGAGCAGGCAAGGGTGGGCGTGACCTCAAATGCCAAGCAAACTGAAAATGGACTATTTGGCTAATTATAACAGAATTTTCTGTACATTAAGAAAAAGATAAATCAGTTTCTCCTTTGCAGGAACTGAGATGGTAACTGATTAAATAGCCCTTCTGCCTGTAGGTACCCTGTCAAATAGTGTACCTGAACCCTCTTTCACTAAAACCTCTGAGCTGCCATTTCAGTTTGTCTGCTTCAACGTTGTGTGGAACATTGAACAAAATCTCATTTTTGTTACTATGCCATCAATCCTAATGCTCATTTTAGTGATAGTGTTTCAGTCTTCAAGCACTAACATAAAAGGTTGTATACAAAGCCTGGAGTTTGACGTGCATTTGAAAACACACTGGTAAGGTGGAAATGAATATATATAATTCTTCAGCTGTAGCTCCTCTTATAAACTTAAAACTGTAGAAAGTAATCCAGATAATATCTCTGTTCTTAGGCAACTTTACTTGCCTGGCAACTTTGTGCTTTACAAAAAAACCCTACCTTGCACTTATTTTCACTGTAGTATAATGATGCAAGGAAGCTCCATGGATTATTTTTAAACTATTTCAAGTATTTGGGCTCCTTGTAGATCTGTCTACTCTTCTTAAAATGGAAATCTTTATATAGACTTGTGTCACACATTTAAGTACAGCTCTGGATTCAAAACTTTCAGAAATACAGTACACATGTGTTTACTGTGAATGAACAAAGAGGTGGTGTTTGCATTCTGTATTTAATGATGACTTCTGATAAAACTTTGAAGTACTCCTTTGTCTGCATACCTTGTTTTGCAAACATTTGCTCCTAAGCGGTGTGCCTCCTATTCTGAGTGGTAAGTCACATTGGCAGGAATGGAGCATACAGAGACTGCCTGATTCTCCAAAGGTTATGCAACACACCCACCAAGCAAAAACTGCAAGATGGAGACTTAAACACAGCCCCTCTGACACCTCAGAGCAGAAAGACCTTACCCATCTGCTCACTGCTTATTAATGTTATATCCCAAAGCAGTGGCAGCTGTGCAAGTAATATTTAAGAAAAAAACCAACACCCCAAGAACCCCAAAGACACAAAAAAAGCAAACATAATGATGTATCAGCATCAGGTACACAGTCATAAACCATGTTCCTGTAGACAGTGAAGAGTATTAAAACATTCTTGAATCGTCTCCTGTATGACTCAGATCATCAAGTAGCATGAATGGAGCAATGGGTAATTCTCTGAGCCAGATATTCTCTTTGGTCTTCTCCAGTTTCTGTGTTTGAGCCAAATCAGAAGCCTTCTGCTCGAGTGACATGTGATAAGCAATTGTGTGAATGTATTCTAAACCACCTTGGCCAAGTTCCCATATGTGCTTGATCCCTCTAAGTTAGAGGGTGAGTGCACCTGATAATTGCTCATCTACCATGTAATGTGATAAGTAAATGCTGGGCCACTAAACCCTGCTGTACCTGGACATGCTGTCTGCCCTGCAGACTAATGCACGTGCCAGCTGACGCACAGTAAGGACTTGGGTGGGGTACTCATTGCTGTCTCTGTCCTCTGCAGAATGAATAATGGCCCTGTTATAGGGTATGAAGAGGATGTTGGGAGGAGGACGACTTTCCGCCTTTCTTACCCGGAATCCATCTTCTCAGATCCAATCCACTACGACCCTAATACAACCGTTGTTCTCATCGTCTTCAAACCACGTGACTTGAAGTGGCTTTGGGAGATACTAGGTGGTCAGAAAATAGTAAGTTTAATTATTCATGCCCTTTGGCTCAGCTTGCCACACACCTCTCATGCGAAATGCCTGTTTTGCTTTTAACCTTAGTCCTCCTAGCTGGAGGGAGCACTGGGTCTTCTAGTCAGTCCGCTCAATATCCCTTTCCCATAAATGCTTCTGTCCTCTTTCTCACACACATATTTGATCAGTTCCTCACCCCAAAGCAGTTTTCCTCTTGGAAATACCTTTTTTATCCTCTTGCTAGCAGCATTTCATATTCTGACATGCATGCTCCAGCTATTTCCCAGATTATTTTATCCTGCGGACTTGGTGGAATTGCAGAATAATGTTGGAAGGGACCTCTCTCTGGAGGTCTTTAGTCCAAAACCTTGTTGAAAGAAAGCAAGACCAAGTTCAAAGCCATACCAGCTTCTTAGGGCATCATCTAGGTAAGTTTTGAGTATTTCCAAGGATATTTCTACAACCTCTGTTTCAGTGCTGCAGCATCCTCACAGGATAGAATTTCTCCTTATCCTTTCACTGTGTGTCTCTGATAAGAGTCTGATCCTGTCGCTTTTTGTAAATCCCTACCAGATAGTTGAAGACGGGCTGTACAAACCCAGCCTCTTCAGACCCTTCTTGTTTGCTGTGTGCTCTAGCCCCTCAGCTGTTCTGGTGGCCTTCTGCTGAGCTTGCCCCAGTTTGACACTCTTCCACAGAGAGGAGCCCAAAACAGCATTTGTGAGACTGCAGAAAGGCACGGTACAAAGTATTTGAGAATGGTAACTTCTGTCCACCTGTTCTCTCTTCTCTTATTAATGTGGCTAAGCACACAATGAGCATTTACTGCCTCCAGGCATGCTGCTGGTACGTGTTGTCCATCAGGGACCTTTCTGCAAAGCTGCTTTCCAGCCAGCTGGCCCCAACCTTTGCTGCTGCAGTGGGTTATCCTGTTGCAGGAGCACTATTTGGCACATGTTTTTGTGGAACTTTGGGAGGTTCAACACTTTGCTTCTTCCTCAACCTCCTGCCCTTGGATTTTATTCTGGTTAGAGTTGCTACAAAACCAAAATCAACTGTTTATAGCCATTAAGAATGTGTATTTACTTGCCTGTTACAGAGTGCTAAAGGCTTTTGGAAGAAACCAGCTCTGAACATGATATACAAATCTAGTCAAATTAGGATTCTTGATCCCAGCATCACCAGAAAAACGGCTTATGAATGGCTTCGCTTCCCAACAAGGTTTCCCAGGAAGGAGGTGGGCTTTTTTCTTCAGTGCCTTTTAGTTTTGTGCAACCAAATGTGTACTCAGAAGTAATTATCTCTTTATTATAGTGGACTATGTTAGAACATCCTTGAGGTTCACATGGCAGTAGTTTGCATTTAGATGGTGCTCAAAAAAGACGGGAAAATGGAATCCAGAAAGACAGTGGGTAGCCTTGTATGCCAAAAATCTCTTTTTATGGATTCTATAATTAGTATTAAACGAGACTGCTTTTGTGGACAGACATAATTCCTTTTACAAAATTGTGGAAAGCAGACAGACATTGGAACATGGCAGATCCCAAGGGACTCTAGAAATATTAAGGAGTCTTGAATTATTAAATGTAGGGTGTTTTATAGTTTTCTTCAAAAAAACCCCCAACAAATCCACAACACTCCCCCCCGAACCAACCAACCAAACCCACCCCACCCCTCAAAACCCAACAACCCAGTAGTTCTAACACTGCTGCAATTTCACACTGCTGGGAGCAGGTAGGGACTGGGGTGCATACAGGATATTCCAGCCCTGTGCTAACGACATAGATCTAGCAGCATTCTTGTGCTTACTGATTTGATGCCAAGCATTGTAACGAGTTAACTGACAATTTGGACGTAAAAATACATTTTAACTGTCAGTTTATGACTGAAGAATGTTTCCGATGAAAGGTAAGGCTTCAAGCTGGAGAACCTCCCTTGTGCAGTCAGGACTGACCATGTGCTGTTTAGCACAAATACAGTTCCCTGGGGTCACATCGTTGCATAGAGCTGCTTCATTGGGATCAGCCAACTGAGACATGTGGAAATGTTTGACAGGCTCTCACTGTGGAGTATCTACCACAGCTTTTTTTCTGGTTTAATCTTTCTAATATTTGAGGGACTTGAGGGTTTTTTTGCTTTTGGGAGTTACTGTGCTGCTTTTTTTCTCTTTAATTTCTTTCTTTTTTTGAGCCTACTTGTGGCTTTTTCTTCCCTTATTAACTCTCAAACTGGAATACCCAGTTTGGCTGCGTGCTTGCTGGGGCTTTGTGGCATTTCAGCTCTTCGGTCAAGGGTGGGAAGAAAGCAGCGTAGTAGTTGGGCGCTTATCTATCTCCTAAAAGGCCACAGAACATCCGTGGCCTCCATGGCTCCAGAAATTCCTCTTGTCTCTTCCTGTGCTCCCCTCTCAGTGGGGGTAAAAGTAAGACCAGTGCTGTCCGTGAGCCAAAGAGATGTGTGTGGTGTCCTGGGCCTGGTACAGAGGCCCAGGCCCCTCAGTTGCTTTCGGTACTGTGCGTGCTCTCTGCTCCTCTCCTGCTTTCTAAGCACCCCTTCCCAAAGCTGGGGCAGAGTGTGTCCGTGCTTGGAGCCCCTTTCTGCCACCTCCACATCCCGCTTGCTCTATCCTGGGGGTTTTGCAGCCCCTTGTCTCCGGCAGCAGCAATGGTCAAGCTCAGGTGTGCTTTTCCTCTCTTTTCCTGCTATCTCAGAGGTGGGCTATGACTGGGAGCCTGCACGTCTGCAGTTGCTCTGGCACAGCTTGGTTAAGCTGCGGATCATGCCTCGGGGGTTCCCATGGGCAGGGCAGCCTTTTGCAGGACCCACCTGGGAGCCTTTTGTCCCTTAGTGTGTCCCTGGGGAGGGCTGGTGCTGCCTTTGCTGTCCTGTGCTTCAGCCCCCTCTGCCTGCAGGAGACGCCGAAGACCAGTGTTGCTTTCCCTGCTGTCTCTGCCTTTTCCATTAAGCCAATCTCATGTTCCCTGGGTGCGCATTTCTGTGCAGTCCAGCAAGCATTTCTGTTTCTTTGTTAGCAACTGTGATGGTGTTAGGAGAGCTGGGAAGAACAACTGTAAAATCGGATGTGCTGCCCCAGCAGCACTGAAGTCAGAAAGTGTTGCAGAGTTATTCCAGGGCTGTGCCTATTCCCATTAAACGTGACTGGCCGAACAAATTTCATTACAGGCTGAGACTATCTGGATATGGCTAGGGTGCTAGCACGATAATACATTTTAAAAGTAGTTTTGCTTTTTTTAGTATATTCTTTTGGGGTGAACTTTATGATAGCCAAAGGTAAACAGAGCTAGTTGCAACCTGTAACGTTCCTGATACTTCCAAATAGCACTAATCCTGACATGTAGCATTCCTGCCATAATTTTGGGGTGCTGTTTGGTACAGATATGGCAACAGAGCCACCACTAAGTTTATGATATTGGTCCCCCAAGGCAGAAAGTTATTTTGCTACCTGGCAGGAGCCCTGGGCTATAGTGTGCATTTTAAGTTGATGTTATTTCTGGAGTACTCTAAGAATTGTATAAAGGTACAAAAAAAATTCTACGTGAAAGTTGATAGTTCAATTCTGTGACTTTAATTAGGTTACAGAGCAGATGTTGGTAACTTTTTCCTGGGGATTTGTTTTTTTATCATATGATACAAAAAATATTTTTCTGTATCGAGTGCATCTGCCTTCTCTCTGTCCAGAGTTGTCCAGTACTGGCTTGCCTGCTTCGTTTTCAGAGGCAAATGAACAGAGTCCTGCATAAGAGTTCAAAAAAGCATGTGCCTTTGCGTTCAGTTTAAGTTTCGATTGCAGCTACTGAAAGCATATAACTCATTTAGTCTCTGAGAAAATTGTTATTCTAGCTAAAAAGGGAATTAATGCCTGAAAGTTTTGTCCATTTCTGGGGACGCTTTTTCCCCTCAGCTTCATCTGTTGGTCTAATGAAAGAGTTCACCTCTCTTTACAAACCTTGCCTCATTTACTTCCCCAGATCATTTTAGCCACTGCTGCTGCAACAGTCATGTACTTCATCATGGGATAGGACAGATGTTGGCAATGAGTTGTTCTATGCTATTGTAAGAAATGCTAGTTTTCGGTTAGGTGCTCTTAATTTTGCACAGTTAAAACCTGTTTATGACCTGCTCTTGATATTTTACATTGCATTTAATTCTGAGCTATCTTACTGTAGGGAGAAATATGCAATTTTGTTTACAGTTCCTCTTCTTCTAATGGAAATAGTGGGGGAAAGTCTAAAATCGTGTTCTTCTAGAATTTCCCTGCTTTGAAAAAGTTCAAATGCAGCCAAATTCATGTAGCAGTAGCATTCATGCGTTTTTTTAGTTTGGTGTTAATGAAGATTTGAGGTGTGTCATGTTGTTCTGTTCGTCTGGATCTCCATTGTCTAGAAAATTATGAACACGTCTGCTCATTCAGTCAAATTTGATGGGGTGAAATGGTCTCCAATATGTTGAAGCCTGACTGGTTTCATGAGAGTAGGTTGCTGAGCAGAGGGATGGAGAGACCTTCCTGATGCCTGTGGGGAGGGAAGGGCTACAGTATGGGCTCAGCCCTCACTAGAAACAGGAGAATCCCAGGGAAGGCCAACATAGCAGACACCCTGGTCATGGAAAACCTGCAGGCAGTACTGTACTCCTTCTAAGACGTGAGGGGATCAAACTACAAAACCAAACATCTGTAGAAGAGCCAGGCTGCCTGATTTCTGCTTTCTTTGCTCTTAGGTTTGCTGTTCCTGTTAAGCTGCCAGTTATTTATGTATGCATGCTCTTTGTGTTTCATTTTAGAAACCCAAGCATCCAACAACGGGGCTAATTGCCATTACACTAGCATTTCACATTTGCCATGAAGTTCACATGGCAGGCTTCAAGTACGACTTCACTGACAGAAACAGTTCTTTGCACTACTATGGCAATGACACCATGTCTCAGATGATGCAGGTAACAAACACTTGTTTATGCTGAGAGAAATATAGCTGGTAACTGGAGAAGACAATTCAGTATAGGTAGAAGTGTGGACTGCAGGTCAGAAAGGTCTCTGATCTTCTCCTGGTTCAGCTGCTCATGGGTTAACATTGCTTGAATCTCTTAATCTCTGCTTTTCTTTCTGAAAAATGTGGATAATGATATGTGTCCTTTGTGCTACACCATATTCTGCAACATTGGCATGAGACACATCCGTTTTTATGTTCTGTTTTGCTTTGCTGGTGTTATCCTTAGGCTACGCAGCTCTTGTTCATAGAAGCATATTTGCTAGCACTGTCAGAACATGGATAGTGTTGTTTCTGTTTGCGTTCTCTTTTTCCTTGGCACTTACTTGCACAATTTGTCATAGTTACCAAACCTCTTAAAAAAGAGAACGAGCAAAGGGAAATGGAAGGAGTTAAGACCTATAAACTTGCAGTTAGGAAAAGAACTGAATTTCAGAAATTGAAAGCAGAAAAGAAAAGCAGCTCTTTGAGAGGGGTAGGAAGAGAAGGAACTGCTTCCAGGCGGGGGAAGCCACAACTCACCGGGAGAGGGAGCAGCAGGAGGCTGGCAAACATCAGGGATGCCTTCTCTTCCCTCCTGCTTTGCTATGGTCATGCCTCCATTTTCTTTTATGTCTCTGCTCTTGTCTTCAGCTCTGTACTCTGAGATCTCAGCCCTTTACCTCAATGTGAACAGTTCTCTCTTCCATGTGCATGCCTAGTGCATGTGGGGACCATTTTCTCTCCTCCTCCCTCTTCTGAAGAGGGAAGGACAGGGGCAATGCCCATAGGAGCCTCTCATGTCTCTCTGAGGACTCCTAGGTGCCTGCTGCTCTGAGATAATTTTCCTCTGACACTGAACTCACCTCCATTTTGAGGACTTCTCTCTGCAGGTGCTTTTTTGCAATGTATACCAAGCTTGGGTAAGGTTGATCACTAGTTGAATAGACATCCCTAAGTTTCCTAAAACCTTGAAACTTTAAAAAACAAACTACTAAGCAAAACGCTTGTCATTAATTCTTCAGTGGCGTTAAGTTGTAAATATTATACTATATCTGTATAATCTTTTATGCAGTATGTATATTAATTTTAATTTACTGGATTCATTGTCTTAAGATTGTCAGTAAACTTACTTCCCTTGTGCTGTCCTCCACTAACCTCAGTGGTCCCTTGTGTATCCAGGATCTGGATACAGCATAGAAGATGGGTTGGTTTTGGCTTGTTGAAACTGATTGTCAGGATGTATCCAATTTACAAATGCCTGATGTGTGCCTTTCAAGAACCTGCATGGAACTTGGAGAATTAGTAATTTTCTGACTGCTTGTGCTGTAAATGTCATTATGTAGCTGTTCCCTCTAAGCACAGGGAGGAGCTGGTAGAGTTAGTAATGGTAGGACTTCTGTGAGACCACGTCTCACCCATTCTTGCCACTGAAGGATCATCCCTTTTTGTTCATGTCCTAATGGAGGATCTAATCTAGTTTTGAGTAATAGAGTACTCACCTGTTTTCTTGGGAGACTGTGCTACAGCCTTTGCCAAGAAGTCTTTTCCCCAGAGCTTTCCTACTCTTAGCATCTTCCAGGTATCACAAGTAACTAAAAAGGAAAGAACAACGAAGTGATGCTTCTTGTAATAATTTGAGTTTAATTTCTTTTATTATTCCCTCACATCTCTTTAGAATGAATATCACAACATCGATGCTGAGCAGAAATTTTTGAAGAAGCTTATAGACAAGAACTTTGTGGTCAATTTGACATGAAAGCTGAATGGAAAATATGAAGAACAATCGCTATTTTCAAGATTTGAAAATTTTTTATTTTTTGTACAACTTTTTTATTTTTTAAGTGCAGCATAACTGTTTACTGTTTAAAAAGAGCACAGAAACCTCATCAAGGCAGAAGCTTCTTCTAAGCCTGAGGGTAATGAACTATTGCAAACAGAGTTAACTGAATTTCTGTGAAGCTATTTAAATAATGGGAAAACCATGGAACTTTCAGCTGAAAGTATCAGGGATATATAAAAATGTGATTCACATCACTTATTTATGAGCAAGAACTCTTTCCAAATGATTACTTCTCTGGAATACTTCTGTTTCTGATGTTGTCCTCCAAAAGAGTTACACTGTCAAGAGACTGAGACAACCAGTGTTTAATTAGTAGATGGATGTCTTGTATGTCTGTCCTGTAGTATGAAAATGGCTTTAAAATTATGCCTATAAATGATTACTGTGTGTTTGGGAGAAGGGGGAACATACAGAGTGTACAGGTTTTGGTCTGCCTTGCTCCTGAGGAGGGGACATCCATCTTCAGCAAAGAAGCGACAGCTTCTGCGCTGGCCATTGACTATCGATAGACTCTGAACTGCTGCTTGTCTTTGCCGAAGGTGAGGACCCTTTGGTCTGATTTGTGGAGATGTTGGTATTGACAATGCTCATGTTGTACCCAGTTTATGGAAAACCATACTCCCCGTGCTGTGCGTCTAATAAATTTTACAGTTGGTGACTTGACTTAGAAAAGAGGGAGTATGAAGACTGAAGAGTTGTCCTAGACCACAACAGAAACGTGAGCTGGGACAGAGATGTTCATGCCTGCGTTTTAATTTAGAGCCAATGCTTGTTGGATTCCTAGATCTTCAGGACAGGATCTCGTGTATCTTTCTGTTCACTCCCCAAGAATCGGCATGTATTTCCGAACCAGCAAAATCTTCTTTCTCAGGTGCTGTAATGCGTCTCCACCTTTGAAATGCATCGATATGAGCAATGAATGTTCCCATTTTTGGCAGTAGAGTGTGCTAGGGAATATGCAAGGTGTACCTCAGCTGAATTATCATTTGGCTTCTGTTTACCTCTGCTGTCTTGACATTTAGGTTTAAAGGATGTGGCTGAACTAAATCATTTAGTGGTGGGAACTTAACTTGGGATTTTAACTGAAACTTTTAATGAGACATTTATATTTCCAGTCTTTGTTTGTCTTGCACAAGCCTGCTGAATAAGTTAAATCTGCCTGGGAATGGCCTTAACAACTGTCAAAGAACAACAAGTAATACGCTGTTCCAGTTCTCTTATAGGGCGTATATATAATTGTTTTTTAGTTGTGGCACATTTGCTTGAACATCTTGTGGTTATCTTGATCAATCACACCTAAAGAAAGCACAAAGAAGTCCACTTGAAAAAAAGTCTTTTAAGTTGGTAGAAAAACGTTTGCTGCTTTTTAGTACAATTATGTAGAGAGTTTTAGTACATTTAGAAGGAGTGCAAACAATTACAATATGAATACAAACCTCTAGCAGGTCAAGAGCATGCTATTTGTGCTTTCAGAAGCTGAGGATTACAAGAGTACTGAACACAATTCCTTTGCTGCAGCATTGAAGTGACCAAAGAGTCATCTTTCTTTTTTCCTATTTCTCTTGTGGAGTGCAATAGGTATTTAAAAAAACCCACCTGCCTGTAGTTCTCATCTCCCTCTTTAAAGCCTTGGCTCTGCCATTTGGGAATTAGTGAGGGCAGTGTGATTTGGAAGGCAGCCACAGCTGAAGGGGAGGCGGCTTCTGTTTTCACCTCATGACTCCTGAGCTTTGGTCCATTTCAGGCAAATTGGACATACCTGAAGTAACTTTGTATGTCATAAAATTCTGCGGCAGGGGCTGGGGAAGGACCCAGACGTGTCCCCAGCAAGGGACAGGCTGTGCCATGGTGTCCTGCCAGCTGGACGTGTGTCCCTTGGGCCCAGATGCTGCTGCAGGGGGTGGTCCCTTGTCCAGCCGTGCGCAGGGCGGCAGGCGAAAGCATGGAGGAGAGGGGAGAGCTGGAGGTGCTGGAGCACCGGAGCAGGTGACTGTGGTGGTGGAAATGGAGGAAACCAGAATTTCTTCACCAGGTGGCAGAAGGGCTCTTGCTCAGTTATTTGCATTTTCTTTTTTTTTTCTTTTTAAACATGCACATTTCTGAGGCTTTGAGGAGATCTTTGCTTAAAAATCTGGATACAAGCAGGTGGGGTTTTGCATCAGAAAACAGTGACACTGCTGTCTTTGTTTCTACCAGCATTTATTTCTCATGATTATTTCAGTTAATTAAAAAGGTTTGTATGTGACTCTGCAGCCCCAGACCTGCAGTGGTTTAGACTACTGACAGTAGCAATTCCCATGAAAAAAATGCCGAGGTAAGGGTTTTCACAAAGGTCGTGGTGTTGTCCGAGCTCTCTTTGTATAGAGGTCCTTGGCAGATCTTGGAGACCATTGAGAGCGGAGCCAGGCAGAAGCAGACGGCTGCCTCTTCCCACTCAAAACCCATGGTCGCTCCCAGAGCCAGGCTCCCAGCTCTCCCATGGCCTGCCGCCACGGATCCAGCCGCATCCGTGTGACATCATGCAGTACGCTGACTGAGAGGATTTTTGCCAGGAGGTCTGTTAAATTTGCCCTCTCCTTGCAGTGCCTGGTTCTTGTGATGGTGTAGGCTGTGGTTCTGAGGATGTGGTTATTTTCTCTGTTTTATTTCCTCTCTGGAGATATTCTTCCCACTAATTAAACTGACTCCTCCTCCTAATTTTCCTAGGAGGTTTTCTGCTTTTTGGGGGTTTTGTTCTGCTATAGTTAGAATCCCCCAAAAACAATTGGAAAAAAGGCTTCATTGCAAGCAAATGGTGTCCTCACCCCTCAACTCTTTTACTGAAGATAGACTCCCTTTTTTTTTTTTAACTACATCAGCTGTTGTCTTCCTAACACTATTATTTTTTTTTAATAATGTTTGGTATTCTCAATGCATTTAGTATGCTGTCTACAAGCATTTATCCCTGTTGGCTGCTCCTTTTTATTTTTTATTAAGCCTCCCTATTTGTATGACTGACTTCTTTTTTAAATTAAGCAGTACTCCTGGGGATATTTTTCCCCCACTTCTGTGCTCCTGCAGGGATGTTGAGTCTGCGTGTGCCGAGGTTGCTGTTGCAGGGTGGCTGAGTAACTTTTAGAGCCAGACCTGTTCTCTTGGGACTGAGCCAAGAGCTGATACTATTGATAAACTACGAGGTACTAGTTCTTTGGAAAGCACAGCTTATAGGCCAGTAGCTTTTAGCTTCAATGATAAGCGGTGAGCCAACTGCTTCATTTCCCCCTGCCGTAAGATGTTTTGGTAGGATTCTGTGTACACCAGCCCTGCTTCATCACTGTCACCCGCTTCATGTGGTCATTTCTGCTCCTCCATGCCTTGAGAACAGGTATCGCTTTTACACTAACTTCATGTAGGTAAGTATAGTGCGTTTCTCAGTAATGGCCACAGACCACAGCTTCTATTCTATCCAGGCAGACGTTTTCACAGGTGTTTTGCAATACCAAAGACTTCCCCTGGCACTTTCTAAGAAAAGCAATAATGCTAACTCTAAATACTTAGATTATTTTTTTTTTTCTGAGAGTGAGTTGCTATTAAGATTTTCTTTTTCCATTTTTACTATTCCTGAAAGTGAAGTCTCTGCACTGAACTTCCCTGTCAAAGCTACCCAATTTTGTGATCGCAGCATCAGCAGCAAAGCTGTGAAATTTTGAATCCCAGGGTGCTGCCAGCTTTATTTCCATGTCTGGTAATGGTGTAACTATGTAGGTACCCAGTGTCTCCCATCAGTTTTTTTTCCTGTATCAATTGCAAAGTCAGATGCTCCCACCCCTTCTTCCTCTGTCCTGTTCTCCAGCAGCCTGCTGAATTTCAAGACAGCAGCATCTTACAGCAAAGGTGCTCCTGCATTTTATCTGCCACCCCCTCAAAACGCTGTGCTGTCAGAAAGACTTAGCTCTAAGATACCAAAGCACACACAAAACAGGCAGGATGCCGTACATCAGCTGAAAGCTGTGTTTGGCTCGGACTTCTAGGGGGATTTTGTTGTTGTTCTCTGTTGGGAAAGTATTTTTTCCTCTGCTGTAATAATTAAAGGAAGTACAGAGATATGACTAAAGAAGAAAGGTCACAAACTATTGCACTAAATACAAATCTGAGAGTGCCTAAAAGATATTACTAAATGACATTTCCAGTGACTGTATTGGTGATGATAATACAGAATCACAACTGTGGTGTTTAATAATTAGTGTGTGGTACCTCTTGTTTCCTATGCTGTGCTTTCCTTTTTAACAATGCCCTGGGAGGTAGTATAAATACCTTAACTTTTAAGTGGGGTCTGATTTTTAAGAACATATGAAGCTCAACATCTGTTTTTGGTATTGGTAAATACTTATTTTATTTGCCATTTGTCTTAAGTTTTATATGCCTTTAAAGTGCCAGCTGTATTTTGAAGACATTCTTACGGTTGTTTCAAGTGAAATTTTGAATGCTACAAATGGAAAGAGATTATTCTCCTGTGAATAAACTGTGTTAAAGACGGTGCCCTCAGGCTGATTTTTGCAAGGTCAGTGCTCTCTGTGTGTGTGTGTGTGCACGCGTGCCCAGCCCCATTATTAATGGTGTGTAAAGTACACACAGCGTTGTCAGATACCGTATCGAGTTTCAGAACAAACTTTGGTGCTTAGCAGAGCAAACAGTGCTGAAAATTTTTGAACCTAGGTAGGCTGAGCTGTACTGCGGGTGGAGATCTCACTCCAGGCTGAGTAAAAGTAAAACTGATGTAGTTTTTGTAAGTAAGATCAAGAGCAGCATACTCCTGATTTTAATTTTTCATAGTTTTTTAATCTTGCCTGTCTTATTGGGGACTTTCAGGGGAATGCTAAAATAAAAGATGCTTAACTAAAAGGATGGCCTGTGACGAAAGACTTTTGATAGAATGTGAAAGGCGCTGATTGTGATACTTTGCTCATGTTTTGTTTTCTCTTTCTCTTTGTGCAGTAAAAATGAGATGCTGGGGAGCGGGGAGCCGCTTAGCCAGCGGCTTCAGGGAGTCTAAGGGAGAGGTAGAAAACGATTACCTGGCACAAGTAGGTATTCAGTGCATTCATTTTAGTATTGACAGTTTAGGATTTTTCCAGCTTGGAGGAAATGCCTGTCTTTGAGGTGAGACTGGGGGAGCCACACCATGGGTTATCATTTACTCCCTGCAGTGGAGCCACTTGAATAGTGATGTTGATCAGTGACAAATATGTTGCCACTTTCACATGAGGTTTTTGCTGCAGGTGGAAAAATGGGGAGGGGTGGGAAAAGCTGTTTCCAAATCACAGGGAGAGCCAGGCATGTGGTGTGCATCTCCCAGCCTGGGCAGCCAGCTCTGGCTCTTTAGGGGAGCACAAACCCTTAACAGTGCCACCCCACGATGTCCCATTTCTTGCCTTCCTGCGCGCTGCCCCGTGCCTCGTTAAGCTGCAGTCCCATGTTGGCTTGCGCTGAGCAGGTGCCCGTTCCTGTGGGCTGCCTGCGGGAGCCCCTCGCTCTGTGCATTGCCCCCAGCCCCAGCCACACTCTCCCACTAAATGCGACGCCAGGACAGTGCGTTCCCCCCAGTGGCATAGGGCAGGTTTTGCCAGTAGAGGGGAGCTAAAGAAAAGGGAATCTCATTTTTTTTCACATCAGGCTGTCAGTGGTTTCAGAGAGTCCTTGTGGTCTGATACATGAATTCAGCAGGTTGATTGCTCCTTCTAACAGTTCTGCTGAATGAAGACAGGATTTTTTTTTTTAAAGATATTTAATAAGATATTTTTTTCAAATCAGTACAAAAATTTTAAATACAAAATTATTTGCTTTTGACATATCTCATATATTCCGGGAGCATACTGAAGTTACCAATGCCTGGTAAACTGTCCGTCTGTTCCTGCCACCATTCCATAAAATTTCTGAGATAAAGCACCACATTATACCACTGGAGTCCTTAGTCAATGTTAGACTGCATTAAACTCTGCATTTAAATAATGGTAATGCCAGTTAAATCCAATCTTAGTTCTGCATGAAAAATCTAGTTCATTTTTGAATCAAAAGCAGTAGCATTAGCTAAAGACATTGAAGAAGTGATGAGTATTTAACTCTTTCAACTAGCGTAACAGTGTGTGATGTGCAGCACTGTACAGGGAACCACAGCAAAGTACACTGCCCTTTGGAAACAAATACTTTTGAGGTGAGATTAGCACCATTGATGAACAGACAGCTCTTTCCGAGAAGTTGCCTTCCTCACGTACAGAAAGAATCGAGGCCTGCAGGTTCTCCTTGACAATAGGTAACATATAAATAAGGATTGGAAATCAGCTTCTATATAAAACGAAGTTCTCAGATAAATGTGCATGATCAGTATTGCTGATAAAGTTACCAGTTGATCTCAAACAACAAATTAGTTAATTAGCAGAGAGCGCTACTTCTGCTTTGCCTAGTCATTGAAGAGTAAACTGATTTAACTTCTGCTGAGTGGCAGACTAGGTGTCTCTTCTGACAAGCCAAACAGATGCAGGTTCTTAGCATGAGCACAGACATCCCAGCAAATTTATACCACCCTGCTGTATTGCCACGTGTTGGCCAAAATGTCTCAATCACGTGGCACAAAGCAAATGGGGAACCCTTCATTTTTATCTCTGATCTACCTCATCTACTTCAGCCGTGCAAATGCAGATGGAGGCTTTTCGAGTGCTGTGGCATTTGGAGGTGAACCCAGCACCTGCTGGAGTCAGGGGCGGTGTTCTGGGTCTAATGACTGCTGGAGAAGGCTCGTGGGGAATTGTTACACCATCAGTATTCCTTTTCCATCATAAATAAATTGTTCAGCAAAAAACCACACCTGCAGGGATATTTTGTGTGTGGGGAAGGGAAATAAAGGTCTCCAGCTAAGAGAACCTTTGCTTGTCAGGCAAACCTGCTGTCAAAAAAAAAAACCACCCCAAAACCCCACCCAAACAAATAAAAAGCCACTCAAGTTTTTCCATGTAGTTTGAGACTGACCTACTCTGGTTTAAGTTACTGGTTTTCATTTCAACTATGATCAATGCAACAGTCAAATATGCAACAGGAGTGAGTGACGTACGCTGATTTGAACCTTAGTACTGAATTACGGTGAATGAAATGAAGTAAGCATGGCATCACAGAAATATATAATGTACAGCTCCTATGTCCCCCTCAGGTGCAAAACAACTGTTTATGAACCTGATACACATCTCTAGATATGTTCACCACACTTTTTTTTTTATAACTAGCTGTGCATAATGTTAAACTTCAGGTTTTTTTGGTTTTTTTGTACAAGATGGTCCAAAACGGTCATAAAATGCATCTTTCATGGTATAAGAGTTTGAAGCAGAGAAGAAAGGTTTTGATTTTTGTGTGTATGTTTGTGTGCGTCTGGTTTTTGTTTTACATGGGATACAATAAATATCCTGAAAAAGACGAATGAACGTACTGCCCGGCATAGAGTCCTGCCGCCTGCTCAGATGGCATTTGAACGTAAACCTTGTCTCCGTGCGTCAGCTGGACAACAGCGCTGCCCGAAGCCTGGTCCAGGAAGCCCTTCTTGTACTCGTCGTAGGTGTACATCAGCGGCTCGTTGTTCTTGAACAACGCCACCCAGACGCTGGCCCCTTTACAGTGGACGTGGTAGGCAAAGTAGTAGACGCCGGGGATCTCGCAGGTGAAGATCCCTGTCTGGGGGTTGTAGTTTTGCCGGCCGTTGTAGAGGAGCTTGTCGAACTTCACGGGCACCCCAACCCGGGGGAAGGGGGTGAGGAGCTCCGCCGTGAACGCGGGCATCTCGTAGACGGCGCCGCCAGCCTTGCCTTTCTTGCCCATGTAGCCGTAGGGGGGCTTGATGCCGTCTATCCCCGGCCCCACCTCGGGCAGGTACTGTCCCACGGCTGGCGGAGTGGGTGGGATGATGACTGGGGGACCTGGGGGCCCGGGGGGGCCGGGTGGTCCCTGGAGTCCTGGCTGGCCAGGGGGACCAAGCGCCCCGGGCTTCCCCGGGGGTCCTTGCAGCCCCGCGGCGCCGGGTTTGCCCACGCCAGGGAAGCCGGGGGGTCCAGGCAGGCCGGGCTCCCCCTTGGCCCCTGGCAGTCCTGGGGGGCCGATGGGACCGCTGGGTCCCGCGATGCCCGGGATGCCCGAGGGGCCCTGAAGCCCCTGGGCACCGGGGAGCCCCGGCTCGCCCTTTGGCCCCACAAGCCCTGGGACACCTGGCAGCCCCGGCAAGCCTTTGTGCCCAGCTTCCCCCTTGGGCCCTGTGGGGCCCGGCAGCCCTCGCAGCCCAGGGGCCCCCACTTCCCCAGGAAAGCCTGGCTTTCCTGGGAACCCCTGCAGGCCGGGTTCACCCTTGGGGCCAACGGGTCCTGGTGGCCCCACAGCGCCGACTTCTCCTTTGGGTCCCGGGAAGCCGGCGGCTCCCGGGGGGCCCATGATGCCGGGCAGTCCTGGCTGGCCGGGCTCCCCCGGCGGCCCCCCCATGCCAGGCGGCCCCGCGTGCCCCTTCTCCCCCTTGGGCCCCAGGGGGCCGGGCAGACCACCCACGCCACGCTCACCTTTGGGCCCAGGGAAGCCTGGCTTGCCCACCCCGGGGAGGCCAGGGGGCCCCGGCAGGCCTGGCAGGCCTTGCTCCCCTTTGCCACCCGGGAAGCCCGGCTGGCCAGGGAGGCCATCCTGGCCAGGTTTGCCAACGCCGGGCAGGCCGGGAGGGCCTTGGATCCCGGGGGCCCCCGGGGGCCCCTGCAGCCCCAGCTCTCCAGGGGGTCCGGGTTTGCCCAGGGGTCCCTGCGGGCCAGGGAAGCCAACCATGCCCGGCTTGCCGACCCCCGGCAGCCCCACAGGGCCTGGGGGGCCAGGCAGCCCAGGTGGACCCTTCAGCCCCGGCAAACCCGGGATCCCGACGCCTTTCTCCCCTTTTGGTCCTGGGATCCCGGGGGCTCCCGGGGGTCCCTTCAGCCCAGGCTCGCCCTTTGGCCCCGGTTGTCCCTGCAGCCCCGGAGCACCCGCTTTCCCTATGCCGGGAAGGCCATGAGGCCCCGGCGGTCCTTGCGGCCCGGGTATCCCCATGGGCCCAATATCCCCCTTCGGCCCCATCTCCCCTCTTGGCCCTGGGGGCCCCATGACCCCCGGTTTCCCTGGCATCCCTGGCAAGCCCGGCTTCCCGATTCCTGGATATCCTTGTGGGCCCGGTTTTCCTTTGGCTCCTGGGACGCCGTGACCCGGTAATCCTGGTGGCCCCGGCGGCCCTCTTGGTCCAGGCTCACCGGGGGGACCTTGCTCACCCCTAAGACTCCGCACAGGTATTTCTGGGTTGGGAAAAGAAGAAAAAAAGAAAAGGGGAGGGGGAGAGACAAAAGGTGATTGCAGTCGCATCCTTTGAGAAACACAAAGGTAGTTTTGAATTGAATGTGCTTGCTACGATGTCTCTTAGTTTTGTGGCAGGTGGGGAGGCAGAGCTGGCCAGTTACAGGTTGGTGTTTGGAACAAAAAGGATGTTCCTACTGTTTCACATACTCCAAATTTGCATGCATGTTTCTGTTTCCATAAAATAATTATTTTGCATCATATTTGCTTATTTTCTGCCATGCAAAAGCCATTTGCCCTTTACTAGTGTTTTCCACCTATACAATCTTAAGCAGCAAAGTCTGCCTTTTGTCCCATATTGCTGTTGACTAACCTACTTTTAAGAGTTTTCGCAGGACACTGCTCAGTGCAGTGCTTGAGCAGCTGCTCAGTGCTCTCATGCTGTAGGAGGAGGTCTGGCATAAAAGTGCTTTTGCTGGAGGGGCTTACACTAGCAAGATCAATTAAAAAAGATTGTGTCAGTAAGAAGTTTGTATGTAGGTATGACTGCATTTTCACCAAGACTGTGGTTCCCACTACAATATTACTGGAAACCTACAGCCTTACCCAGCGTTGCTAAGCTCCCACAGGTTTTCGGTGCAGCCATGTCTAGTTAGAGCTCTTCTAAACACTTCACAAAATATTTTTATTGTCCAAACCCACACTTTTGTGTATGTGATCACTTAGCATTGCAGGTCAGGGTGAGGGAGTTGCTGCGTGGGAGTGGTTGTGCTGGGGTTGGTTGCCTTTCAAGCTGCAGGCTTTTTGTCTTAGGTGAAAAGTCTGCTTCTCTCTGGCTCTAAAATGGATAAAGAAATGAGAGGTTTGGGGGAAGGGGAGAGATGAGGTTTCAGGGCAAGAGAATTAACTGTTCTTTGGGAGGCAGAAACCCTCCCTCTCTGCACATGTTGTGTTTTATGCACGTAGAAAACCTCCTTTGCTCACGAGATGGGTTGATTTTACAACAACCAGTCGTGCTGGTTCAGACATTCCAAAAATAGGCCCTGAAATCTTCCATTTTCCTCTGAAGCCAGCGGATGCTGTGGTTACGCTGAACCCGCAATAAGAGGAAGAAGAGTTAACCAGCTTGTCTGAAGTCGCACAGATGCTCACTGTCCTCACAAGGGTCTTATGACACTGGGTGTTCCTGGTTGTTGTTTGTATTTTGGAGACATTTTGTTGTTTTTGTAAACATCTTAATATTGTCCAGACTTCCTTTACTGAATACTGAAAGTGCTTGTACGTGCAGACTCACGCAGTAATGCCCTGCACCTTCAATGCCTCCATTATGCCCATAAATAACCTACAGAAAGAGGACTGCAGAGTCAGAAGAGCAATTGTATGTTTTTATCTGCAAACCTCTAAATCACAGGGTCTGGACAAATTCAGACAGAACTGTGATATTCCTCTAAATTCAGATCTTGGGGCTCTTAGCTCTTATTTCGTGTCCCTTCGCTGCAGTGAGAGTAGGAGCACCTCCAGGCAGGACCCTGGCCTATCCACCTGGGCCGTGATTTGAAACCCCATCAGAGGGTTTTCTGCAGGCAGATGGGATTACAAGGTTTTTCCTAGCCTTCAGCAAGCACCCAAACGGAGCCACCCAGGAGCCTGGAGGATGACTGTGGCCTTGCTCTGGTGACCCTGAGCTGCCCCACAGATCACGTGAGCCCATTTGTCCACCGGTGGCCAGGTACCAACCTGGCCAGTCCTTGGGGCACATGGGTGCCATGCCCAGCCTGCAGCAGCCTGCTCCCCATCTTCAGTGTCCCCCCTCCCAGGCCAATGGTGCTGTAGGGCATCAGGCAGGACCGTGCAGGGGCGGCGAGGGACCTGCCAAGCCTACCTTTCTCTTTCTTGGGAGCCATGTCTTTGCCGAGCAGAGGCATCTGCGGGACCTCCTTCATGTACTGAGGCAGATGGGGGTACTCTTTCCCGTACTGCATGTGGGGCACCTCCTTGCCCATGTGCTGCATCGGGATGCCTTCTTTGCCCAGTGGCATGTGAGGTACTTGTTGTCCAAGGGGTTGGTACTGGGGCACCTGGGGTGGCAGCTGCTTGATCCCATAGTAGACGCCACCTTGAGCAGACCTCACCAGCTCTAGGTAAACAGTGACAGCCACTGCCAACAGCTGGACAGGAAAGAGCAGCACGGCCATCACCTGCGAAAAACACAACAAACCCCACAGTTGGCAGAAAATGTTTTTTTGTGTTGTGCATTTCCCATTAGGGCTGACCTGCTCTCATTTTCTGTGGCAATCTGGACCTAAACCTCCGCAGACTGGCTCTGGTTTGTGTGTTGGCCTGGAGGACATCCTGCAGCAGGCCTGCACCTGGTTTATTGGAGGCTCTTGCTCAAATAGCACTATTATAGCAAAAGTCCTTATATGCATTTAGTTTTCTACTACCCCGCACACACCAGGCGGTGCCCTCTGTGGTTTCTCCATATGGGGACCCACTCCTTCCCATCCCCAAGCTGCCATGTGCCACTTTGTTGCTTATGTCAGTGCCATGACACAAGGTTTGGGGAGCTCTGCTGCAAGCTCTGGCACAGGGGGAGAGCAGGCAGGGGCCTGTGAGGATCTCTGAACAGCTTTCTGCCCAAGGAAGCTAAATTATCCACACCCCTTCTGCTATGCTTTCCATAGCAATGAAAGCTCAGTTTCTGCAGCTTAAATCTGTGCCTAGGATTGTACCCCATGGCTGCAGAGTCCAGCGGCTCGCTCTCTATTTCTATCGCAGCTCCTTGCCAGCTTTCCTCCTAAGCTGAGCTCTGATCCTCTCAGCCTTCACCCAGAAGAACTGGGCCATCTAGGGGCTGTCTGGGCCATCGCTGCCTCCGGGCAGGATCAGCTAACCCAAGCCTTTCTCCAGGGGTGTTCAACTATTTTCTAAAGGTCTCCCCCACTGCAGACCCTGTCACCTCCCCAGGCAGCCCATCCTAGCACCTCACCAGCCCTGCTAACACAACGGAACAGGGTTGTTTTTTCTTTTTCTTCCTTATCAAAATATAAGCTTGGGACTTCTCGTCCCATCTGCTGTTGGCTTTCCTTTCTGCAGTAGGAGCATTACTAGCAGGTGAGCAGCAAATCAGGAATCGGGAACTCCCTAAACAAGTGCAAATTTGGGGGCAGCCTGAGGTAACAAGGAGAGTCTCCACGTGTTCGACTGTTTTGCAGTTTGTCTCACAACCAAGCCCGGTAGGCAAGTCCTGCTCTTTTCAAATGCAGGTGGCAATTGCTAGGCCTGATGGCTGTCCCCTCCTCGTCCCTGCTTTTCCACCATGCAAAGATGCCTTGCATCCAACTGGGGCACCTGGAAAAGCCCCCACCACACACGCACCCTGGCAGAGCTTTGCCAAACTGCTCGTCAGGACTCGCTCCCAGCAGCTGCTGAGCCCAGGTGTGGTGAGGGTGGCCCGAGGAGGCAGCGAGGGCTTTGTGCCACCTACTTATTTTCTTGTCCTTCCCCCACAGCCTGGCTCGACATAGAGAACAAAAAAGCCCCTCAGTCCTTGGCAAAGGGGCTCAGCACCGTGCCCCCTGTGCCTTGGGAGGTATCTTTTGGAGGGAGAAGCTTTCCACCTTTTCCTGCTGTGGCTGTTCCCTGCCTGAGAAGAGCTGCTCGTGGGGCTGCAGCCGTGGCTCCCCTGCGCAGGGTGATTCTGCAGCATGTGGGAGGACCCCCCTCGCTTAGAGGGCAGCGCGACCCGACATGGGCTGGGACGTGTCCTCGCGGGGCCCTGCAGAGACTTGGCTTTGGGCAGGCGAGGCCACTGCCGAGAGCCAGAGGAAAGTGTGAGAGGTACGTGGGGTCGGAGGGAGGAAAGGTATTTATGGAGGAGAGGGCAGCAAGTGGCTGCGCTGGCCTCCTCTAATGCTGCATAGTGTACAGTAGGCTTCTAAAATGGGCCTGTAAATAATTTGGGAGGGTGGGACTTTGCAACACATCTGTGAGGGACTCATGCCCAGTGGGCAGAGCGTGTGAGTGGGCTGCAGGGTGGCTGTGAAACTTGCTGAGCTCAGGGAGCGGGTCAATGGCACTGCAGGCATCGAACCCCGGAGTCACAACTTGCGTTTTCCCCACTCACTGCTATACCTCTCAGCTTGAGCAAAGGGTGGGCTGGTATGGACCATCCCCGAGAAATTGCTGCTCTCGCTGCTCTGTGCTGTGGTGGAGGTTATTGACCAGGTGGCAACATCGGGTAGCACTTAGTTCTTACGTTTTACTCCTGCTCAAAGTTCTCTACTCAGTCTGCGTTAGCAAAGCACCTGGAGAAATACTCACTGCTCTTTTAAAACATTTCTCCTTCATTTTGTTCTATGAGCTCTCAATGGAAATTAGTGTATCATCATTACTGATGGTGTAAATCTAAAATTGTGTAGTTGAAACAACCAGTAGAAGGTTAATATTTTCAATAATGCTCCTAAATAGACAAATTAACTAGAGAGAAGTTGGAACTGTGTTAACAGCAAACCAAACCATTTAAGAAAATGAAATATTAGTGAATAAACACTAGATGGAGCATATGTTGCACAGCTGAATTTCTACAGTCACTTTCTCTCCCAGGAATTTAAGGTCTTGGATGTAACCAGCTGCCATGTGGCAAAAAAAACCAGAGCCAAGATGTACAGGAGTTTGTAAGTGTAGCTAAAGCCCAGGCACAGTTGCTCATCCTTGTTCAGCAAAGCATTTCAGCAAATGCTTCATCTCCAGTGAGTTGAATGTGGCTTTTAGCCCATGGCTGGCAGCTTTGCTGTGAGCTAAAGGATTAGGGCCTTAGGACACGGTATTTCTGCTTTAAGCTTAATGGCACCGGACTGCGAGGACAGCCTGTGTGGGGTCAGTTACTGTGGCTCAGCTGGGATGTGGTAACTTACCTGCTGCAGCTTCATCTGGGCACATAGACCCTAAGCAGCCTTGGGGTTTCTTTTTTTTTTTTTTTTTTTTTTTTTTTTTTTTGTTGTTGTGGGGGGGGTATCCCCAGTCTTGTCTCTGTTGGCCCTTCTGTTCCTTTCTGTACCATAGCAAGTAACTGGCTGCAGCTTTGGCTCTCTGTAGCTGAGTAGGGTAACACCTGCCTCAGTTTGCAGGGAAATATCCCGGCTACTGGAAAACTTGCAATATTCTGTGCATCTCTCCCAAATGAAAAGCATTGCCTGTATGAAGAGGGAAATGCAGTGAAACCTTTTAAAAAAACATTAGAAGATACTGGATGATTAAGGACTGTTGTTGAAACCTACAAATATGAAGGGCGGGGTGGATTTTGAAGAATGAGGTTATTAAATTAACTTCTTGGCTACTTTGTTGTTCTGGTGGCCAGTTTTGGGGTTTTGTTTTTTTAAAGAGATGACCTCAGTGGAATAAGTGGAGAGGGAAATAGGTAAAATTCCTTTGGATGTGATTTTTCTCCTTGTTTTTATTACAAAACATGGGCTTTGTGTGCGAGTGGGAGCTATTTGAAATAATTGGAAAAAATTTCCTACGGGGAGACACCAGCCTGCCCGCAGCTCAGGGTGAACTCGACCTCCCGCTGCTTGTCCTGAGCTCCCTCGGCCCTGCTGAGCATCACGCGATGCACCTGCATTTGACAGTTGTGACCACACAGCACACAAGATGTTTTTGTGTGTGCGTGTGGAAATTTCGAGGGAGATCAGGCAAGACTTCTAGAGATAGGAAGGCTCCAGAAAATGAGGTGATCTCACTACATCTGTGTTTCTTTAGTGTTTTTTGACTCATCCTAACCAAAACAGTGTGGCCTGGAAATGACAAATTGCTTCTCATCTATTGATTTTGGCTGGGGCTGGTGCCTGTGACTAGCTGAGGTGGAAGGTGGGGGTTTTTTACTGAACAACCTCAGGCTAGATGGGACTTGGCCAATACCTTTGTGGGAGGAGGTCAGAGCCTCCCCGGCAGCCTCATGTGAGCTGTCTGGGTCTTGGGATCTGCTGCAGGTACTTGGGAAGCGGCCTGTGTTCAGCACCGGCCTTATGGCTCATCTCTCCCCCTGCTCCCAAGGGAAGGAGGGATCTGACAAAATTAGTCTTCAAGAGAAATGTGGTAGAGTTGTATGTGCGACTGCTGCTGCTCACTGCCTCCCGCCAGTGGGTCCAGCTGGATTATCACTATCAGATACCTATGTCACTATAAGGCAAGCCTGCCCTGAAGCATGAGGGATGCCTGGGACAGTTTTTCCGTGTTTCAGCTCACTGCCTGTCTCATCCTACTCACCTTCTCTAAAAAGTTATTTATGTACTGAGAGAGACAGAAGTTGAAGGTCCTTTTTTCTGCCCTGAAGTTTTTTTTTCTGAATGCCTGGGTGCACAGCTCTTGTTGTTTGAAGACCTTGCTAGGAAACCACCAGCATCTTTAAATGCCTGAAAGCTACTGAAAATCTTGCTCTCGTTTTTTGAAAGAAGCGTATAGATCCTAAATGTTGGACGGGTCCTCCAGAACTTGGGGACAGCAAAAGGAGACTTTCCCAGCAGTGACAGGACTTAAGGAAAATACCAGAGTGAGGAGGCAAAAAATCTGTGCTGAAGATGCAGCCAAAGTGTAAGACTTCCCACACCCTTCACTCAAATCCCAGCAATTTAAGGATCATCTCCAAACACATTCATGTAATGTGATCTGATATGCTTTCAAAGGTGTCTGTCAGTGGAGCAGTAAGCTGGCTTTGAAGTGGGATTTTCCTGGGTTTCTGTCAGAAAGCAATGGGAATGTGTCTACGTATTTATGGCAGGTAAATCAGTGCATGCGTGCACCTTTAGAGAAGCCAAAGGCTTGGAGAAAGCCGAGTTTTACCTTAAATGTTTGAATGGCTGAAGAAAGATGGAGGAGAAGCAACTGTGCCTTCATAGAGTGTGACGCATCATTTTGCACCAGTCTTTCAGATTAAGACACAATAAATGTTTTGCTTTACCTAGGGTGGGGCAAGCCACTCGAGGGCAAAGGAACATTATCCTAAACCACAGTGTTCAGCTGCTTGTGTGTGAACGTGTGTGGTTGGCTCTGTGGGTGAGAGAGATTCCCTGAAAAAACACATTTTTACAGGCAAAGCTCAAGTGAGAACATTTCTCAATAACCTCTTTGGTAGAGCTGTTCTCCTGAGAAAACTAGAAAGGACCTTCCTCTGGCTATTTGCATTTGTCAGTAGAAACTG